CAAGCTTACCACATTTGATAAACCGAAATCAATCGGCGTGTGTGGTTCCTCAGAGTTTGTATCTATGTAAATGTTCACACAATATGCCTACAAATAATATGTATTAGACTACCAATATTTCCATTCTGCGCTAAATTTTTCTAGTTCTTTCTAAATAGTTTAGGTTCTTTACGAGAAAGTGTATGAAGTTTTGTTTTATTTACTGCTCCAATGCGCCTACCAATCCATAAGAACCTTTTAGCCCAGTAAATTTATATCAAATTGGTACGAAGAAAAAAAAATTGTAGTAGGCAACTTTTGATGCAGTTTTTTTTTTTGGGTTCTTTGCAATTCGGAAACTTATTTTGCATTTTGCGTAAAAAAGATTAAACATAAATTTGTAAAGAATTTAGTTGCCCACATTTGTCTTATATACTAGATATAAGGTTAAAAAAAAGACAAAAATGTATTGTAAATAATTAGGAAAAAGTAGGAACAATTGGTACATTGCCTGGGTTTACGCCATTTTTCAAAAATTTCTGTTGAAAATATATAGAGCATATTGAGATGCCATAGTTGTAGAGAATTTTATTCTCCATAACTTTTGTACGAATATTTGTTTTTAGTGCAACGCGTAGATCACGACCGGGAACGTGCGGCATAAAATTCATTTTAACATCACGTCACCCGTTGCAGTTCGATGGGCAAAATTCTATATGACGGATTACAACGATTCTTCTTCTTCTTTTTTTTTGGTGCTGTAACCGCCCAAGCAATTTTGGCCGTTTCTTATCTGTGCCAACTGACGCCAAGTGAAGCCAAGTCCTTCTACACTCGGTCTTTCCAAAGCAGTGGGGGACTCCCTCTTCCTCTGCTACCACCAGCGGGTTCCGAGCTGAATACTTTCAGAGCTGGATCGTCGGAGTCCATTCGAACGACATGGCCAAGCCAGCGGAGCCGCTGTATTTTAATTCGCTTCTCTATGTCCATGTCGTTGTAAAGCTCACACTGCTCATCATTCCATCGTCTGCGGTTCTTTCCGTCACCAACGCGAAATCTTTCTCTCGAATGCTCTAAGTGCCGCCTCATCGGATGTTGTCAATGTCCATGCTTCTGCGGCATATACCAGCACGGGCATGATGAGTGACTTATAGAGTGTGGTTTACGTACGTCGAGAGAGGACTTTACTCCTGAATTACCTACTCACGCTAAAGTAGCGCTTGTTAGCAAGAGTGATTCTGCGTTGGATTCACATGCTGACATTACACTGGTTTACAGAGAAAATGTTCTATGGATGCCACTATCCAATTTCCATGTAGTATGCCTCGGTAATTCCGAAAAGCGAGATCGTTTTTTTTTTTCTATGGATAACTTTTCGAGAGATTTGCAATTTACCGTTATTCAGCTTTAAAAAATAGTGGTTTCACTTAATTACGTATATCTTAGAAACTGCTTGAATAACGCGAGATACGGGAAATAGAAGCAAACAACATTATCCATAAACCACAAATACGTCAGTTTTCGATAGCCCTGATCGTTTCTGAGAAATTTATTAATCATTTCTGACACCTCTTAATTTCAACGCAAACACCTTACCCATATATGTATGTAATACTCCTATATTGGCAGTAAGAGCTAGTACCGTCCGAAAACACTACAGTACAGATATATCAATAAACACGTACGAAAGAAAAGGAACACATACGTTTATAAATAAACATGTACACGACACATTTACAAAACCGGCACTCAAGTACACAATACATTGACAAAAACAGTACTAGACTGTCTCGCTTTGATTTCGGAATGCTTACACATTGAGATGTTAGCTTACTATCAATATAGAAGTATTACATATATGACCTTACCTAATTTAGAACAACTAATTAATTTCTCGGAAGCTATTAAGGCTATCGAAAAGTAATGTATATACGGTTTATGGAGAATTTTATTTTCTATCATTTGCCATACCCCGGATTACGATTGTTTAATTCATTCGTAAGATATACCTGATAAAGTGGAACCACTCTGTTTTTTAAGCTGAATAACGGTACACTGCAAATATCTCGTATCCATACAATAAAAATTAGCTCGATTTTCGCAATCAGCGAGCGATTCTACATACAAATTGGATAGTGGCGTCTGGAGGACAAAATCAAAATTAAAATTTGTGATCCAGTGTTATTATCGGTGTTAATGCTGGTTCCCAAGTAAATGAAAATTTCCACTTTCTCGAAATTATAACTGTCGACAGTGACGTGGGTGCCAAGGCGCGAATGTGCAGAATGTTTGCTTGATGACTGGAAATATTTCGTCTCGTCCGTTTACCACCAGACCTATTTGATTTGCTTCCTTATCCAACTTGGAAAAGTAAATTGTTCCTCAGCGGGCGGAAAATGTACAAAACAACAACAACAACACCTACCATTAACGCTACAGCCATCCGCAATGCCTCACATATGCATGTAAATATATGGGGAAATCTCCGGAACCGTGTGCTTTTGTGTCACTTACCTTGAAATTAATTTTATTATGGAAATTTATTTTTATAAAAAACTTTGACTACTTTGATAACAAATGTGGCGAATTCTTTTAATTGATTTATTTTTTTTTTTATGTCATTTTAATTTTTATAAACAATCAAAGTAATTAGAATAACAATTTTGGCATGTCACTTTGGGTACCTTTTGTATGTTTTTTGTAACTTTTTCAGCGCAAAATGGAGACATTCAAAAATCAAGGAAAATAGTAAATGTAATATTGCAAAATCAGATCTTTGGGAAGTGCGGTTAACGAGTTTTTAAATATATACTCAAAAATGATATTTTCAATTGAGCTTAAGCGAACATTAGTTTCTCGTGGCGTGGCCCGCCCACTTATGTCAATTATCTGTATCCCGAAAACCACTTCACCAATTTGTACTAAATTTGATATACCCATTCCGCCTGACCTTCTTATATACTGTTCACGTGATCTAGAAGTAACACTAACATTGAGTTTTATAAAATTATCGCTTTTTTACTTTTAACTCTTTAAGGATTTGAGAAAAACTAAAATGTTTTGTCAATGGATTTCAAACAATTTGATGGTTAATTTATTTTTGTGGGTTCAATTTAAGAATTTACGTTTTTTATCGAGATTTGTCCATATATCAGCAACACTAACACCAGTGAAAATGCAACATGCCACTGGCGAGAATAACAGCTGACTCAACGACTACGACAAAACGCTTCAGAAAGTCAATACAGCCAAAAACACCAGCGACAAAATTGTCGTCAGTGGTTACTCATAATATATGTATGCAGCCGCATCGTCCTCATTTTTTTCCGCCAAGGATTTATTTACTTGCAGCA